CCGTATCAATTTTATTATTAGGTATACCAAATAAGTACGCATTGCTTTCCAATTACGTTGCACTAATTACTTCAAGTCGCGAGCAAGTGTGCCAAGTATAAATTGATACTTGTGTAGGCGATCACTTTCAGACAACCTTCCAAAACATCAATTAAAATGGATATTTAATTAAAATTGTTAAAGCTAATAATAGAGTTAGGTGTAAGAGTTGACGCCGAAAAGTAAATACAAAGCTTACAGAAGCTAACACATGGCGTTAACCTTAGGGATCCTGGCCCATAAAAAGGTTCGATTCCAATCGTAGCTCACCCTTGTTCCTTTTTTGCCCCCCAGAGGGAGGGGGTAGGAGTGCGCGCGCACACAAAATCAATACGGTCGGAGTTACGCACAGACGTAGCACGAATGAGTGAGAGCCGCTAAGGTCATGGCTGACGTCGATAATCTATCGATAAATATTATTTCATAATAACAATTATTATTTTCTTAATTAGCAATTAACATTTCTAGATTAAACTATTAAGAAACCAATTTATTACCTCTCTTTTTATGTTTTTAACTATAGTCTCCTATTTAGCGACAATTTGATTTGTATACCTTATAAATTAATTCAGTTGTAGGATTACTTTCTAAATAAGGTCCTTGCTAGATGTTTTCACCTGTGACAAGTTTCAAATTCCTATGAATAAATTGATCGCTATAACAAGACTTCTTTTCTCACCTGCGAAAATTATATCAACACAAAATACACGAAAAAACTCGAGGATTTATCTTTAACAGTAGTTTCCAATCATGTAAGGCACTGTCTCTAAAAACTACAACCATACGAAATACATAAGTTAAAGTAGGAGCAGATGGCCGGCTTCCAGGAATACGGCATAATTCACGTTTCAGAGAAAAGGCCGATGCTTTTATTTGGGATCCGGTTGTTTCCATTTATTGTCTATTGCTCTCTTTTTATTCTTCGAGAAAAAGCTTCGTAACAACGATTTTAGATTAGGGTTTGTTAATATTTTGGTTAATATTCTTTTAATTTGAGATATCACGTTCATTATCGATGGAATAAAAGGTACATCACTAAAACTCAATAGTTTAAGTTATTATGGACTTGGTAATGACCCGATGAAGTGGAAACAATACAGAAACCAATAACGGCCATGAAAGGTGTGCCTGTATTTTATGTCAAACTAACCTTGTTCATGTTCATGTGAAGGTTATTTCATATAATATGGGGAACTATATTTCTGGTTAATTTTGGATCCGATCAGCAGTTTCTAAATTCACATGATCAAGGATTTAAAGATAGGATTCTCTTCAGTTTGATTTCGCACAAAAAATGCTTTGATTACCGAAAAATTAAGAATTAATTAATGCAAATGCAAATTCAAAATTCAAATTCAAATTCATTTATTTGCAAAAATGACAAATCTTTAGGTTCTTGTCTTAATTCCCCCTCACAAATAGCCACTTTAAAGTCACAATTATCTGGTTCCCATGGGGCCGTCTGATAATAAAATCTGCCACCCCCTGTGACCAATCATCCAGCAGTAATAGAGACCTATCGGTGCCTTAAATACTACCCGTCGAGCACACACAGCTAATTTTACGCCATATTTAACAATATTAAACGTAGCTGTTTCCGATACATTTGATCCATACAGTTCGGAGATATGTCGCGAGCAAGAAAGAGCTTTTTAGCAATCTAGATTGAATCACTTGATGAACGATCTTATTTTATAGCATTTAAGATACAAAACTGCGGTTTGGTGGTAGTAAGTACTCGTAGGTCGCGACTTGCGCGTATTTGCCTTAGGTAAATAAAAATTTTTTTTTTTTTTTTTTTATCCACAACGAGGAAGCTCTTGACCTGTATCTCACCTGATGGTAAGTGACGATCAGGCCGAAGGTGGAAGCGAGCTTCACCCGGAATCCCCAACCACGGAGGAACTGGCTATCTTACCTCTAACTGTCGGAACACAATAATGCTGTTAACATTGTTGTTATGGCGACAGACTTAGGTAAGATGGTGGTAGCTAGCCAGGCGGACTTAGAACAAGCCCTACCACCAACCAAACCGAACAGAAAAATCTGCCCCCACTGGGAATCGAACCCGGGACCTCTGCGTCTGAAGCAGGTGGTCTAACCACTAGACCACAGAGGCGGTAAAAAAATAATCTTGCCCTTTATAAACGCGCTGTGAAGTTATTCTAAAGGTTATATGATTTTATCTAGTGACAATTTTACAAGTGATGCTATGTGACCAGCTAGCTACACATTTCATACAAATAAATAGGGCCTTCGTTTTGAGATTAAGTACTAAGTAGGCAAGAATTTTCAAAGAGTTTTTGATGAAACTTTTTTCTTTATGGCTAATGTATTTTAATTGTAAGCTTAATCTTCAACATGATTAATCAACCGTACAATTACAATCCCGCGATGTTTTCACGCGCGTGAAAAATATTTTTGTCGACACTTGGCTCGACGCGTCCCATCCTTAATGAGACGGTTTGATTAATTTGCAGTGCATTTGGCCCAAACTTTGCATTTGTTTGCTAATTTAAATTTCGCTCCAAATTACAATGATTGGAATAATTAATATAGCGTCAATTATCGGTGGTCTGGTTATTTGGAGGTTGTCACCGATTTGTTGTTTGAAGACTTCGAAATTGAATTATTTGTTTTGGGAGCGGTGTATCGTGAATGTAACTTTTGCTCAGATGAAGCTTTTCATTTTATTTTATGATAAAATATATTAATAAAAAGTAAAATAATATGTAGGAATGTAGGTACTTAAAATAATTTGCTCAACAATTTTTGATTTGAATTAAAAACGTTACGTACTTGCTTGCCTCTAATTGGATTTTAAATCAGTTACTAAATCAACATGCCAGATGGCGTTTTGAATTAGGAAAAAACACTCAAGAAATGGCTATTACCCTGAAATTTGCCTGTAAACAATACCAAGTATTAAAGTTAAAAATAAACGTTAGGTTACTGAAATTATGAACGGCCCCAGTCCAATTAAGATGGCCGCCCGACGGCGACGTGATTAAAATAACAAAAAGATCAATTAGCTAACGATATCGCTTGTTGTTCCACTCGTTGGGTATTAGGTCTTGAGAACTGAAGAGTGACAGGAATGACAAATACCATGGTTGTTAAGTTAAGCGCATTTTCAGCAGCCAATTTAGGTTATTTGACTGAAGTAAGTAAGTAGTTTGACCGCAATCGCATCACTGGTATTATGTACATTATTGTACATACCTACCGAATACTATTTAGTTCAATGAACTGTACATATTATGTGATATTATGATGTATGATTAACGTACTTTTCTGCAATCTAAATACTATTTCTAAATATTATGATAAAGCCAAAAAGTATCTGTAAATACCTACTTTGAGTTCAATTCATTAATTTGGACAAGGAATGACGGAATAACGCTCTGTTTATTCAAAATTTTGTCAATTTTGTTTTATCATTGAATGACGAGGAAAACTGTGGTACTAATACTTGACCCGTCCATTTTATACATTCAATACAATATTAAATTTAGGAAGGCCCAAAATAGCATTAATTTCAGTCAAATTGCCCTCCATTCTAATAACGAATTTCGTTCAGAAAAACCCTCAAGATTCCCTCAACCTAATTTCTCATATAAAAGCTCTTCATTTGACTGCCAAATAAATTTGATGTAGAAATCTGAACCTATTTATGAGTGTTCGGATCTTGAGTGTTAATCCGGTTGGTAACAATTGGATTTCTTGCTCGGGTCCTCTGGGAGGGAAGCGATTTAAAATCTGGCGCGAGGCACTCCCTCTTTTATACTGGAGTTTAACTGGTTACAACACTGGGGATTGCAGTGAAACAACCCTTGAAAGAGTCTAGAAAGAATTAGGCACGTAATCTTGCCGGAGAGCAAAGTTTGTGTAAAGTATCTTTTAATGTACCAACAACTATAAGCTAAAGAAACTTTTATTTTATTACCATTACAAGTATATATTTTTTTAATTAAAATGCTTTTAAAGACAACTGCTTGGCTTGGTCACTAATGTGCGCTGAAAAGAAACATCACAAGAAACTCGGTCACCACGTCCTTTTTATCGTTGCCCCATCAATATTTTTATTCCATTTAGCAATTTGATGCGCAAACATTGTCCCCAATCTTTATCTGAGGTAAATATTATACAAAACAAGACTAACAGCATTAATTTTCCCCTCTTTCGTCTCATCAGCACCATGTTGGTAATTGGATAGGCCCCAGCTACACTTAATTAGGGCAATAGAGTATGGCCTATTTTGCCACTATTGTCGTAAGACACATGTTACTTAAGACAGTACGTCTCCGATTTGTACAAAACAATACATTTACATGAACACAAGCCTGAGACAACCGCAGACCAAGCCACAGCCTAATTCAAACGTGTATTATAATTATTAAACAGATCTCTTATTAATGATCGAGGTAGGTAATCTTATCGATAGCTGATTTCAATTATTTATTTAAAAGCATAGCTTTCAATCTCAATCTTATCTGAAATGAAGGGTGCATTGTGATCTACAATGAATCGAGCTTATTCAAAAGATCAATCTCATCAATCTCACCTTGAAAGCCATGGGACCACTGCTGATGGCTTGGATTTATATGAATACTTACGTAAATACCTACTTTAAAAAACTTATAATACTACCACTAATACTACTTGCTTGCTATGAGTACTGAGTACACATTTAACCCTTTATATCACCGTGTGACATAACAGTTACAAACCAATTACTTCTTCATAAAATTCCAAACATAAATTTTATTCCATTTTAAATCAATGTCGCACGACGGTGACAAACCGTTCTATGCATTTTAGTGCCTTTTGTGCATACAAGATGGCGTTACTTGTATCAAAAGTTGGACGAAAGTCACTTCCCGCCAATTTGTAAGAACCGTTCGCGAGTCGTAAATGGAAAAATCGAAAAAAAAAATACTATATCGAAGTAAACTACGAAGCTGTTGCATAATCTAGTAGGTAAGTTTATGATTATGACTATTTGTTGTTAGTAACGCATAATTTTTCGTAATTCTTGATAAATTCATCGAATATTTGTTTGTGACATTTCTGTTACATTGCGTAGTAATGTTCCCTTAGTGCAGTACATTGAACTTTGTTTTATTATTTGACAGAATGGCTTCTCGGAGTCTAAGAGAAGAAGAAATTGAGCAACATCTCTTTGATTATGAGGTCAGCAAGGACGGATATGAAGATGATGACGACAGCGTTGCGGACCCTGACTTTATTCCAGATCTGGAGCACCCGTTCGAAGATGATGCTGTTGAAGTGGTTGAAGGATTAGATATCGATGATATTATTGAGAACTTAGAGCACAATGTAAGTACTTCTCAGCCTTCAGCTACCATAGAATCTTCTTCTCAGCCAGGACCATCAGCTCGTCGTCAAAGCAAGCCTAAACTGAATGTACGCTGGAGAAAGAAAAACTTACAACGAAACGCTACTCGGTTGAGTATGTTGGCAGTGTAGAAGAATCGGAGATATCCACAGTCGCCTGGAAAAAAAATTCTTGGACCTTGTCATGTCTAATGCCTGGATTTTATATAAAAGGGTCCGCAAGGCGAACAACCCGCAAGATGCGCAGCTGTTGTCTTCAGCAGATTTTCGCGAAGAGATTGCTACAACATTGAACCTGAAATTCAGGCCAAAAAACGAAAAGGTCCAGCCCAATATGTCCCTCCGATAGCTGTGCGACAGGACCAAGTTGGGCATTGGCCTGTATGGGCAGAAAAGAGGATTCGTTGCAAGTACCCTAACTGCGCTGGCGTATCACAAACATTATGTGAAAAGTGTGGCGTAGCATTATGCTACAACAAACAAAACAATTGTTTCAAAGCGTTTCATACGTCTTAAACAAAACATTAAGACGTATGAAACGCTTTTAAGACAGTGTAACAGATATGTCACACTCCCTATTTTGTAATTTTGTTACTTTCATAATTAAAAAATAACAAAAATAAAAAATACGTGTTTAGTTATTTACTAAAACCTATTAAAAAATCAACTTTTTAAAGAAATCATAGTTGTTGAATTATAAAGGGTTAATGCAATGGTGAATATAACATGCTTGTGCTCAATAAAACTAGTCCAAAATGTAAATTAAAAATCTTCAGTATCTGTATGACACGTACACGTACCTACTTTATTATTAAACTAGCGGCCGCCCGCGACTTCGTACGCGTGGATCCCGTTTTACCCCCTTCATCTATTTACGCGGTTTAGATTTTTTCATACAAATGTTTTTCCCGCTAACTCCCGTTCCCGTGGGAATTTTGCAATATCCTGTGGTAACTAAGCTTTAATTTTACTAAGGTACCTGCATGCCAAATTTCAAGCGTCTAACTTAAGCAGTTTACTTTTTTCATACAAATGTTTTTTCCCGCTAATTCCCATTCCCGTGGGAATTTTGCAATATCCTATTGTAACCAAGCTTTAAGTTTACTAAGGTACCTGCATGCCAAATTTCAAGCGTCTAACTTAAGCGGTTTAGATTTTTCATACAAAAGGATTTTCCCGCTAATTCCTGTTGCCGTGGGAATTCCTAAGTATCCTATAACCTGCCCAGGAGTATGAAGAATAATTGTACCAAGTTTCGTTAAAATCCGTCGAGTAGTTTTTGTTTCTATAAGGAACATACAGACAGACAGACAGACAGACAGACAGACAGACAGACGGACAGACAGACAGACAAAAATTTTACTGATTGCATTTTTGGCATCAGTATCGATCACTAATCAACCCCTGATAGTTATTTTGAAAATATATTTAATGTACAGAATTGACCTCTCTACAGATTTATTATAAGTATAGATAGATTAGTGATAATCTACTTTATCGATATCGATATTTTCATCCCCACACGCGCCATCACTAGCCCGGCTCGTGCGAGTTAACTAGAGCCCACATGAGCAAACTTCGTCGACTCGAGTCTGTACTTAGTCAAAGTTGTGTGACAAATACCGCTCCTTTGTATTGATGGGAAATCAATATGAGCCCTTTGCTAACTTTACACAAGTTCGCAAAGTTTGACGTGAGATATGAGTTTTTATTTTTAACAACGTATAAATCTGGTCGTTGTAAAAGTTTTTCGCGATTCTTTTGTTACACGAGTTTGCTGTAACTTTTTTGGGACAGAGATGGAAGATACGATGGTTTTAACACCATGATGATAAGCTAGGTGTCAATTGATTGAGTTGCCAATTTCTTGTTATTTTGTCATAAATTAGAACAATTATAATTCATAAATTAGACGTGTGTCATAAAGATGTCATCATCATCATCATTTCAGCCATAGGACGTCCACTGCTGAACATAGGCCTCCCCCAATGCTTTCCATGTTGATCTATTGGTAGCGGCCTGCGTCCAGCGCTTCCCTGCTACCTTTACGATGTCGTCGGTCCACCTTGTAGGTGGACGTCCCACGCTGCGTTTTCCGGTACGCGGCCTCCATTCCAGAACCTTTCTGCCCCATCGGCCGTCAGTTCTGCGTACTATGTGCCCTGCCCATTGCCACTTCAGCTTGCTAATACGTCGGGCTATGTCAGCGACTTTGGTTCGTTTACGGATCTCCTCATTTCTGATTCGATCTCGCAAAGAAACACCAAGCATAGCCCTCTCCATAGCACGCTGTGCAACTTTGAGCTTCTGTATAAAGCCTATAGTGAGAGGCCACGTTTCCGAGCCATAAGTTATCACTGGTAACACACATTGGTTATACACTCTAGTCTTCAGGCATTGAGGTATTTTGGACGAAAAGATGTTGCGTAGTTTCCCGAACGCTGCCCAGCCGAGTTGGATTCGACGATTGACCTCCTTCTCGAAATTGGACCTACCTAGCTGGATCGTTTGTCCGACATACTTGTCAACAATCTCGAGAATTGAGCTCGAAACACAAAGATGTCATTAGGTATCTAAAATGTTTATTCTAAAATATTAATAATTGAGAGTAATGATTAATGTTTTAAAATAGACATTTTACGTTACGAGTAACAGACAAAATATGCTGTTTTCATAGTTGTTAAACTTAATTAACTACTTGATGCCACAGTGTTAAGCTGCTGCGAAGAAATATAAGGCCGATTTGCCATCGAATCGCGGGGTTCCAAACTGGAGTTAATAATAAACAGCTTGGGTCACACAATTTATTGCCTATCAAATTAATTTATTGAAAGCCTCCTCCGCTGAAATATGGGCAAGTTAATTATTTGAGTGTTCGTACAAATTTATTTATAAAAGGTAACATCAATAACTTTCTTGATAAATTTTACGGGCCCGCACAACATTTAAAATGACAGTGTTTAAGAAAATCAGTCAGTGTTTCATCATAGACTTTGTTTTCATAACAAAAAATCGTTCTTCCCTTGATTTTCAAAACAAAAAACGGCGTTATTATGGAAACCTTTGCGGATAAGTTTAACTCGTACTTGACCTGTGTTTTATTGAATTACGTCGACTCCGAATCATTCATAATACAACTTTAATGAAACTTTTAAGGCTCTTTAACAAAAACTCTTTAGCAGTGTAGGTAAAATAAAAGTGAAAATGGAAAATACGAAAAAGCCTACCATTTTCAGAGCCAAATTCGTTTTGTTGAACGCACTGCGAGTTATTACCCCGCCAAAAATATTATTACGTGCGTAAAAAACAAGGGAACGAAAATAATAGCTAAATTCATTCCGTTTTAGTACGTCTGCGGTGTTTTATAGCTTGAGTGTGGGTATGAATCACACAAACAACTACACACGGATCTATCTGTCGGTGTTAAACAAATATCTTGTAAAATTGTGCTTTTATAATTTCTGTTCATGCAATTCTAAGTATTAATAGTTCTCCTATAAACACTGAGTCCAGCTCTCAACTTTAGATAGAGCTTGTTAAAATTATCACTGTTTTTTTGTTACCTTTTCCGTGATTAAAAAGCTCTATCTCTAAAAGAGAAAATACATTCAAATTCTATTACTAGTCGGTGCCTCCACTCTTGCCCTAGAAAAGTGTCTTTAATTACAAAATTTTCTTAAAAGTATCCCAAAGAGTTGAAACGACGCTTAAACGTACTAAATATGAGTACACGACTAAAACCTTGTTCTGATTAATTGATGTTAGTGCGAATGAAAGATTTTGGAATCAATAGAGCATTCGCAATGCTTTTCATTTCAGTTTAACCTTCTTGCATTTGGCAAGTTTTATGTAAAACTTAATGAACGCTTTTTCAGTAACCGACACTTCTGCGGCAAGTCCAGTTTATATTGTGTATGTAAATAGGAGTTTTCGCTTGGTATTCAGCGAGGACAAATGGGCGGGACGTCAAGCCGCGCCGGCGATTTGTCATTCGCCGCCAAATCTATGGGTTATCCTCCAGAAGTAATGCGCTAAGGGTGTTAGAGTTCACTGAGTAATCGTATAACGTGACTATTGCTTTGTGGTCTGACGTCGTTCTATAAGGATCTTTTATACCGTTTTTGATCTTTGAAGGTTTTGCTTGCGTTCTTTTTATTCGTCACAGAAATTATAGTTATTCTACTAGATAAAAAGTATCGTTGGCATTCATTAGTTTTTAACATCTCGTGTACTATGAGTATTATGTCGTGTCAGTAAGTCAGACGCCAAAGGCGGTAGATCAAGTGTGACACCAGGGTTCAATAAAAATAAGAAAATGTTCATTAGAACTTTTGTATTGACTACTTATGTAATTGTAATAGGGCTTATCTCAAACATCCAAGAAATAAAACTCAATAAACACAATCGTTGTTAAATTCCATGAAATAAAACACATGTCTGTCGATTCGTAAGTACGACGATAAGAGACCATAAAACGTCTGTTGCTCTCAGCTCGCCAGTCCTCGAAAACTCGACTGAATAAAATTCAAGCTTTCCTTTGGAAGCTGTAAGTAAAAGAGCGGAGTGCGAGCGGAGTGCCGAGAGCATTTAGCGAGGCACGAGACCAACTTGGCAGCAGGGGCGGGCAAAATTTTATACTACGTAATGTGTTTTTAATAAGGCTGACGGGCTGTGCAAAGCTAAAAACTAATTATCTTTTTTTTAATGCCATGCACGGCTTGATTGAGCATTATTTTATAAAGTACTGGCTGGTTAAGTCGATGAAAGCCATATCAGAAAAAAAAGTATCACACAGAACCTCGCATACGAAATTCAAAATTTCAAAATATGATAGAACATACTGATTTGACTGATATTACACTTCTTAACGATAGGTATAAAAGAAGGTCCCATTTATGTAACAGATGACGAATTATCAAAACTTTCGTGTGAAAACTTGACTGTAATATTGCTTGATTTAAGAGAAAAATAAACCTTCTTTGACGATGAGGGTAGGTTGTTAATAAATCACCTGTCAAAAGTTTCCTGATATAAGCTCTGTTTTAATAACTGTCTAAGGCTATTTTTGGGCCCGAGGTCATAATGATAATATATTATTCCACAAGGATACGTGACAATCTCCGGAAGTAAAATCGTGGCTATGAAGTTTTTATGACGATATCTTTTAGAATACGGTAGTAGCAGGTTATTTTTTTCTATATTTCCCCCAAAAGAAAAAACAGACATTATTGGCAAAAACCTTTCTTTATCCAAGTAGCACCCTTACTTTATCGAAGTCCCGGAATC